CTTGATTATAGCAAAATTCAATATTTTAAACAAGTTCCCATTTGAATATATACTTTCCCATTTAAATCTATACTTATGGAAATTTTGTTAATGTGTGCTAAGATCAACCAATCAGAGAAGCTTGCTTTAGAAATAAAGTACATTTATTACTTAATAATACTTTGATTGGTTCATTTCTGTCCTTAGCACACATCAACACAATTTGTATAAATACAGATTAAAATGGGAACCTCTTACTTTTTGTTATTAATATTATCAATATAATTATTGGTCAAGATTACTTATAACTGCTTTTTAAGTATGTGAACTTAAGACGATTTTCAGCGATTTACTGTGATTTTCAGCGATTTTCAGCGATTTTGTGCGATTTTGCGCGATTTTAGGTCCCAGACTAGGCCTACCGCTTGTGTCTTTGTCCTCTGATATAAACACGGTGGGAGTTGCAAAACACGAGAGAAGCAAGCTTAGAGTGCTTTTCAACTCCCACCGTATTTATATCAGAGGACAGAAACACAAGCAGGCGTTTAAGTATAGTTCTGTTATAAAATTTTCTGCATTTTTCGATCGAAAACACATTTTGCCAGTAAGCCGTGTCTCTGTCCTCTGATATAAACACGGTCATCAGCCAATCAGAGCGCTCGTAGACAATAGACAATACAAACCGGTTTCCATACTCATAGATCTATGCATGCAAAATTTGTATTAATTTTCTCACAGCTGCCAAAACTCAATTCTGTGTTGAGTTGAAACCCAACTTTTTGGATAGACTTTGAAATGTCTTTCAGCATGTTAAGGCCTACTGGGATTTTGTACTCAGGCCTCGCGCGCGGCAAACGAATATTTTATTCTATATGTTATTTCTAAGTGTTCGTTCTTGGTTGTGAACTATCTCAATGAGCTTGTGAGGCCCCTGGTATTCAAGTTCAGCACGTGATTTATTTCGTGATGCGTAACAGGTATACAGTACCTTTAAATTAGTGACGGTCTCCTTGTGTTGTTAGAGCGAGCGAAAGCAAAATGGCGGATCTATAGGAAGTTCGTCTTTGTCAAAAAGGCCTACTTGTTTTGACCACCCCTCCCCTATCACTTTTGACTTCATTAGCATACCCACCTACTAAAATAATTTATACCACCTACTCGTTTTGACCACCCCTCCCCTATCACTTTTGTTTCATTTGCATCTCACAATTCCTACAGTCCCACAGTCCCAAAGTCCTACAATTCCTACAGTCCCACAGTCCCACAGTCCCATAATTGCCACAATTCCTACAGTCCCACAGTCCCACAGTCCCACAATTGCCACAGTCCCACAATGGCCACAGTCCCACAATTGCCACAGTCCCACAGTCCCACAGTCCCACAATTCTTCGTTTGCAATATACGTCACAGCCGCCCTCTTGGTAGAACTTCAACAATAGATTTCTAATTAGTATCTATTGTTCATTCAACCAACATGGCCGGCGGTCTTTTATCTTTTGAACCTCATGAGGATGATTGAAAACGAGCAATTACCACAATCCCACAATTGCCACAGTCCCACAATTGCCACAGTCCTACAGTCCCACAAAACTCCGCTGAGACCCACAGTCCCACAGACCCATCATCATCATCATCATCATCATTGTTCGCCTGCAGCTCAGGCGACCACAATCCCTCTCCACTGCACACGGACACACAATTCCTCGATATGGTTCTCCTCGCCTCCTCTAGGATATAATTTCATCCCTACACTACTACTTATATTTTGCATTGTCTTCCAAATATTTATCCTAAGAATTAGATAAATAAGTGTTTCTGAAGGTAGAGTAGCAGAAATATTGAAACAATATTGAATTAATCTTTGAAATTCCTCCACCAATCACAGGCCTTACTGTCTCTTGAGTACATTCGTACTCTTTTACCCTGTAAAACGGACAAAGTATTGTAGTATATTGTCGTTTATAAGAATACAAACTACATAAAAATATCAACATCGATGTCGCTTAAAAACAAAAACAATATTATGTTTGCTTTTTGTTAATCTCTGCGGGGCTGGCTTTTATTTTGGAAAACAATAATAATAATGAATAGACAGCTTTCTTTTAGCGATACCACTTCTTCAAGCTAATAAAAAAGAGAATTTATCGCAGGACACATTATAGTATAGCATGCCTTTGCCGCTAGTCTGTTTAATGGATCAGCCATTGAAAAGATTTTAATAAGTGGTAGGAAACTCAGAAGAAAGAATTTTTTTTAGTTTTAGTTTAGTTTTCTAGCCTTTGGATTCTGTCTAGCAAATCTTCAAAATAAAAAACTTCAAAATAGATTTACTAAAGCGTAATCAAAAGCCTCTCCGCTATTACATCTGGAAGTAGATGCATACGAAGTATTTTTTAGTAAAGGGGGTTTGAACGTCTATTCAGTATTTTGTATTCGGCTTTAGAAAAAAGCACACAGCCATCTCTTCTCAAAATCTTTGAAGACTACTGTTGAGATTCCTCTCAGTTGCCGCGGACTTGCTGTCTTAAATTCTCAGGAGCGGATCCAGGGGATTGGATTAGGTGCCTAGCCACCCCCTCTTCTATTTGAAAAATATATTAAGGCTTAAAGTTTTGAAAAAAAGAAATTAAATAACAGGATTATTGTATAAAGGAAAATATGTATAATTACTCCAAAAAAAATTTAGACTGATCAGAAGAACTGTTTGGTGTAACTGATGTTTATATATTCATAAATATCTTTCATATAAAAGTTTGTTGATATCCGAAATATTATAGGTGTGCCCAAGATAACGATAAAGAATATATAATTTCAATTGAGCCTAAAGAGTCAATTTAATTGTAACGTCTTTTGATATTAAATTTTAATCTTAACCACTTCCCTCTGAAAAATACTGGATCCGCCCCTGATTCTCTTATCTTATCCAATAAATTTAAAGTAGTTGTATATATAGCTGAAATAAACAAATTTTGTCAACTAACTAGGTAGGATATTGGAAGTTGTTTAAAAAAGAGTAAGAGCAAGGATGACCGAGCGGTCAAAACGCCGGTCTACCACACCTCTGTGGTCCTCGTTCGATTACCGGTCCTGGCCTATATGTGATTTGAGTTTGTAGGCTGGTTCTCTTCCTTGCTCCGAGGATGTTTTCCAAAGGAATGTTTAGTTGAGGTAGACAGTTGAAGAACCACCTCGGGGATACACCTTGATAAAAGAAATATTATTATTATAAGCTCCGTCTTGTCAAATACAAAACGATCCAGGATTTAGTCTAGGACGTAGCATAGTACAGTTTTTATCTTTTCCTTGTTTTCTATTGGGTTTGTTATTGCTTGTCTGTTTTGCTTTTTTGTGGAACTCGTCATTAGTAAAGTCTCCTGACGGCCACGATGTCACTGTTCGAGTCTAAGAGCTGCAGTCTCCTTAAGCAAAACAAATATATTTTCTGAAAAATCGAGAGGAGATGTATTTTCAGCTTGTTGAAGTTGCCTTCATTTTCTTGATAGATCTTCATACGATTAATGTCAACATCGATCTTTCTCCTTTTGGTTGAATATGAGGTTCACAATAAGCATTTCTGTATATAAATATATATTCTACCCGTAAATTCCATACAGTAGTTCGTTTTCTGTTTTTACCGTCTTTAAATATTTCATTCCAGCTTTAAGTAGCAGATAGTGTTATTCTTTCTGTAATTATGGCTTATAAACTACTTTAAAAAATAATCAAAAGTCGAATCTTTGCGGAACAGAAAGGTCAGCTTAAAATTTGTAGTAGACCTAACAGAATCGGACATATCAAACAAATTCAAAATGTTTATCACATATTTATTTGGCTTTGTAAATCAATTTCGAAAATAATTCTATTTAAAGGTATATATGTACACTTTTTACAGTATCAATATTATATGTCATTCTAATTCAACAACAACTTTTCTTCCGCTGTCATTGATGGAGAGTAGAGCACGTAGCGCGGTTGTACCCGCCGTGGAGGGGTACTATCATTTTATAGAGCAAGCTTCTTCAAAACATTTTGTTGTTGAATAATAAAGACAATATAGAGCAGTTGAAATCTCGGGCATTTTACTGTGATAGTCCATTTTACTAGATGTTCTTTGAAGAATCAAACTTCAGTTGAAAACTATCACAGCATAATTGTATTCAAGTACGTGTTGTATTCAAGTCCATTGTTCAATTAAGCGCAATATATATACAGTACTAAATTTGCACTTCTGAAAAGAAGGTGGCGAATTAATTGTGTTTTTATGTAAAATGTTTCAATGTGTTTTAGCTTATGTTAAATGTAGTTCTTTCCTGTTATCAAGCCATTCTTTAGCACAATGAAGGGTCCTATTTATATGACGTCTGATAGACTCTTCTAACCACGTAATACGATGTCTGAATTACCCCCAAATTTTGTGATTACAGGTAAAAATGACCGTCAAAATCTTAAGATCTGAGGTCTGATGGACCATCCAAATCTTGTAGCTCGAGGTTTAATGGATCGTCCAAATCGTGTGACCTGAAGTCTGATGGACCTTCCAAATCTTGTGACCTGAGGTTTGATGGACCTTCCAAATCTTGTGACCTGAGGTCTGATGGACCTTCCAAATCTTGTGACCTGAGGTCTGATGGACCTTCCAAATCTTGTGACCTGAGGTCTGATGGACCTTCCAAATCTTGTGACCTGAGGTCTGATGGACCTTCCAAATCTTGTGACCTGAGGTCTGATGGACCTTCCAAATCTTGTGACCTGAGGTCTGATGGACCTTCCAAATCTTGTGACCTGAGGTCTGATGGACCTTCCAAATCTTGTGACCTGTGATATGATGGACCGTCCAAATCTTGTGACTTGAGGTCTGACGTACCGCCCAAATCTTGTGACCTGTGATCTGGTGGACCGTTCAAATCTTTTGACCTGTAATCTGATGGATCGTCCAAATCTTGTGACCTGAGATATGATGGATCGTCCGAATCTTGTAACTTGAGGTCTGGTGGACCGTCCAAATCTTGTGACCTGTAATCTGATGGANTGACCTGAGGTCTGATGGACCTTCCAAATCTTGTGACCTGAGGTCTGATGGACCTTCCAAATCTTGTGACCTGAGGTCTGATGGACCTTCCAAATCTTGTGACCTGAGGTCTGATGGACCTTCCAAATCTTGTGACCTGAGGTCTGATGGACCTTCCAAATCTTGTGACCTGAGGTCTGATGGACCTTCCAAATCTTGTGACCTGAGGTCTGATGGACCTTCCAAATCTTGTGACCTGAGGTCTGATGGACCTTCCAAATCTTGTGACCTGAGGTCTGATGGACCTTCCAAATCTTGTGACCTGAGGTCTGATGGACCTTCCAAATCTTGTGACCTGAGGTCTGATGGACCTTCCAAATCTTGTGACCTGAGGTCTGATGGACCTTCCAAATCTTGTGACCTGAGGTCTGATGGACCTTCCAAATCTTGTGACCTGAGGTCTGATGGACCTTCCAAATCTTGTGACCTGAGGTCTGATGGACCTTCCAAATCTTGTGACCTGTGATATGATGGACCGTCCAAATCTTGTGACTTGAGGTCTGACGTACCGCCCAAATCTTGTGACCTGTGATCTGGTGGACCGTTCAAATCTTTTGACCTGTAATCTGATGGATCGTCCAAATCTTGTGACCTGAGATATGATGGATCGTCCGAATCTTGTAACTTGAGGTCTAGTGGACCGTCCAAATCTTGTGACCTGTAATCTGATGGATCGTCCAAATCTTGTGACCTGAGATATGATGGATCGTCCGAATCTTGTAACTTGAGGTCTGGTGGACCGTCCAAATCTTGTGACCTGTGATCTGATGGACCGTCCAAATCTTGTAACCTGTGATCTGATGGACCGTCCAAATCTTGTGACCTGTGATCTGATGGACCGTCCAAATCTTGTGGCCTGTGATCTGGTCGATCGTTCAAATCCTTTGACTTGAGATTTGACGGACCGTCCAAATCTTGTGACTTGAGGTCTGACATACCGCGCAAATCTTGTGACCTGTGATCTAATGGACCGTCCAAATCTTGTGACCTGAAGTCTGATGGATCGCCCAAATCTTGTGACCTGAGATCTGATAGATCGTCGAAATCTTGTGACCTGTGTTCTGATGGACCGTCCAAATTTTTTGGCCAGAGGTTTAATGGACCGTACAAATCTTGTAACCTGAGATCTGATTGATCGTCCGAATCTTGTGACCTGTGTTCTGATGGACTGTCCAAATCTTGTAGCTCGAGGTTTAATGGATCGTCCAAATCTTGTGACCTGTGATCTGGTGGATCGTCCAAATCTTGTGACCTGTAATCTGATGGATCGTCCAAATCTTGTGACCTGAGATATGATGGATCGTCCGAATCTTGTGACTTGAGGTCTGATGTATCGTCCAAATCTTGTGACCTGTGATCTGATGGAGAGTCCAAATCTTGTAACCTGAGGTGTTATGGATCGTCCGAATCTTGTAACTTGAGGTCTGATGGATCGTTCGAATGCTGTCACCTGAGGTTTGATGGATCGGCCAAATATTTTCATTTTTGGTCGGTCTAATCTTTTGACTTGCTTTATGTAAGATTGTCCAAATTTCTCATCGATTTCTGAATTGTTTTCAGCTCCTGAGAGAATACATAGCTGCGTGAATATTAAAAAAGCCGAACAACTGCGTATCAGTAGAGTGGTCTTCATCTTAATGTATTACACTTGACTTTTTTTTCTTTAAGAAGAACCACTTAATATAATTGAAGAAAGAAAATGATGCG